GGCCATGACCAATTTAAACCGAAGTGGTTTTCGCGCCCGACACACGAAATTCTCGATCACGGGTTCCCAAATCCGGAACGCTCACATCTCACACTGTCATGTAACTGGCTCCTACCTGCATATCAGGGGAGGTGGCTCAGAGCATCAACTGATGGGCCTCCATTCTATGTTCGAGTACCGACGCTGGCAAGTCGTATTCAGTCACTGCCTAGAGGAGATGTCTGTCTTGCTGCTGGCTGCTCTGATTGATAGTTTTTCGCGGTTTATCCAATCACCGCCAGGTGAATGTCAGAGCAGTTAATGCGCAACAAACTGGCAACGGGAAGCTCGCGATCCTTCCTACCTCTTCCTTCTTCGTCACTAGCTAGCTAGATGTATAGGTCGAATTCAGCCGCTGCCTGGAGGAGTATTTTAGCGGCCGGCTGCTCTGATCGATATTTTGCCTGGTTTCTCCGATCAATCCCAGGCGAATGACGGTGCAGTAACCTATCAAACTGTTCACCGACCATGCGCGATCTTTCCATGCTTGAGCTATTCTTTCTTTCTCTCTCTGTCCCTCTCTTTGTCTCCCTCTCTTTGTCTCCCTTTCTTTGTCTCCCTTTCTTTGTCTCCCTTTCTTTGTCTCCCTCTCTTTGTCTCCCTCTCTTTGTCTCTCTTTGTCTCCCTCTCTTTGTCTCCCTCTCTTTGTCTCCCTCTCTTTGTCTCCCTCTCTTTCTCTCACTCACTCTTCACCTTCTCCCCATTCCCTATCTCCAAGCAAAAATTTAATAGAATGTTCAAAAACAACTGATTCTATAGATTAAGTTGTGCGAAACGTGTCTTTGAAGACCTCAAATTTTTAGTTTTTAATGCTCCTAGAACGCTTCGTTCAGGAGTTATTTAACGATACAGATTTAAAAAAAGCTTGCCGATTGTGTTGCGGGTTGCATTTGATACGAATATATAGTTTTATTCTACAGCGTTATCTAGTGATTTTTTTCTGATATTTCAATAGTTATTCTACTATTCGGGGGCGGTGATAAATCCATCAAATTAGAGATAATTAAAATTGGTCCAGCCAGTTCTTGAGTCATAAATGCTGTAACTACCCGACATTGTTTTGTATATAGTGAGATAATGTATAGTATGATATATACAGTACAAAAAATAATGTACAATGTAATAATAGTGTATTATTTCACAAAAATCTGTAAGGGCCCCCTCCAAAACGATCGGATGTATTCTCTGCTAATCGTAATGATTACCATAAAGCAACTAGTTGCAGTCGTCAGGTGACAGAATTATACAATGGAAGTAGAAAAATGTTTTAATACACTACCCGATTTCTACATTTCCTTCGTGGCCGTGTAATTCTCATTGGCCTCTCTGCCGTCCTCTGCCACCCGGATCCGATGCCAACTCGATTCGACGAAGCCCTCTTTCCTGGAATTCAGGAAGAGAGATTTTTTTAGCTGCAAAGTGGGTGCAAAGCAGTGTTTGTTGGGTACAAAATAAGAAATTATTGCTGTATTTATTTATACTATTTTCATAATAATAATAATAATAATAATAATAATAATGATAAGATAATATGATAAATAAGATAATAATGATAGGGATAATTGAAATGATAAAATGATAATATAATAATAATGAATGATAATAATGAAATAAATAATAATAATAATAATAATAAATATAATAATATATATAATTAATATATATAATAAATAATAATAATAATAATAATAATAATAATAATAATAAATAGCCGATCATATGGCCGAGATGGCAACGGCAGTAGTGCCGTAGCGGTCTTGGACCAATAGATCGGAGAGTCCGTAGCGGGGGTTCGAGTCCCTCCCTGGCCATGGGTGCATTTTTTGTCTGTATGTGTGTTTGTGTGTGTTTCACCTCATTATCATCATCATCATTTAATCTTTCATCCCACCTGGGCTAACAACCCTGGGGGATAAAAATCGGATTCAGATAAATGATCCTCAGATAAAGTTACATGCACCTACTATCGAAATAATGGTACTGAGCCCATAGCAAATAGCAAATACTTCGCTATTATTATTATTATTATTATTATTATTATTATTATTATTATTATTATTATTATAATGATGATGATAATGATGATGATGAAAAAAAAGAAGAAGAAGAAGAGGAAAAGGAAGTAGTGGAAGGCAAAAGTATGTCTACTAAAATATAATATATATATGAATATAGATATATTACAAATAATTCATCTATAATATGGTCAGATAGATAAATATCTAAAAATAAAAAAAATGCGAAAAGGAACAAATATATTAGACCTGCATTCACCACAGGATTTACACAGCCAAATAACAAAAAACTTGGAAAATAACACGCTACAAAAATACTAATCAATGGTCGTACATACACAAACGGATGTTTTGTCGACAATTTATTTTCGGTAACAAGGAACCACCACACTTGGGTTCTGACTTGCACAGGATGTAAATTACTAGATCAGTGGTTTTCAAACTTTTTTGCTGCCGTGACTTCCTTCAGGTAACAAATTCTGCCCATGCCTCCTCTTATTAAAATTAAATTTTTAATAAAAATAACTAAATAATATTTTCCTAAAAGTAAGATCATCATGTACTCATTGTTATTACATACTTACATTGAAAAACATAATTAATGCAAGTAATTTGCAGCGTTCACACTTTAATTAATAATTTAATTAATGTTTGACTAAGTAAGGAAAACTTTAAAAAACAACATATTGATATTTCAGAAAAGTCGGTGAGATGGATGGACTTGTTTGGTGTCAAGACAGTTCATCGAATCTCGGCACTAATTAAGAAATGTCAGTACGCATCTAATTTTGGAGATTCATTTGATCACTGCTATGGCTGAAAATCCTGTTTCACATACGAAAGAAGTGGCAAAAGGATACAGAACAATTCTCTCTCACAAATAGTGAGGTTTTTATTGAAATGTAATTTTTTCTTTTTACGTTAGAACAATGCCGTTTTGCAAAGAAATTCTTATTATGTTAATACAAAACGAATTGACCCATTTCTTTAATGAATTTTTTATGCACTTTTCGTCGATTTCGGCAAATACGTTATTTTTTACCTTTTACGTCATTTTAATGAAGTTTTTGTTGATTTCATAGATTTTATTATAATTTTAATGGCACGTCCTTCACACAATATTTACGATGTGCAACAAAATTTCTCCAAAGAATTCCTGAGTAGCCTATTCGATTTCTTTGCTCATATATTGTAATGTCAGCCATTGTGTGTAATCTAAGGTTTCTGTGACGCTTATCGGCGCCTTGGTCAGTTCGGCCGATATCGCGATAAATAAAGACAAAGATTTTCTTTTAATTAACAGCCCAAACCAAACGCTTGCAAGTGTAGTTATCTTGAACAAAAGGAAGAAGCCTCGATTGCATCAGTAACATATTCAACAGTTTAAGTTGTTAATCTGAAAGGGTTGTGATCAATTATTTACGCCATTTTTCTTAGTTTTAGGGCACTTTAAAATCATTAAAAGCATTTTATTGACCATGTTTTAGGTCATCAAAATCCGCCCCTATTCATAACAGTACGTCCCCCCTCTTCGGGGGATGGGGCGACTTTGGGTTCTTTGTTCACCTCTCCTGCGCTGTCCAGCCAGGTAGGGTTACCATACGGTCTCTTTTGTCGGGCCATGTCCTCTTTTCGATGTAAGAAAACCCGTCCAAGTATATTGTACAAGAAAGGGCGAAATGTCCTCGTTTTTATTCGAAGGAGTGTATTAGATTTAAAAGCAACCTAGACGTACCATGTTTGAAGGATACTCTGCTTTTTTTTAACTTATTCGTGTTTCTTTCGTCATAAAATTTGTCAAATAAATGTACAAATAAATTACATTTAAATTGAAGTATCTCGCCTAACAATAACCAAATCCATAGATCAACTGTACTTCTTGAAATGTCCTTTACTCCATTAAATGCGGTAGTGCTGCCATTAGTTGTTAGGTACAACGTATTGTGGTGCTGGGTATAGAATCTGGGCTCAGATGTGTTAATACTGCTCTGCTGGCCTGCGGACTTAAAACCTGTGGTGCTTTTTGAGCATGATGCTACAAAGCCTTGAATACTTAAAGAACAGTTGAATGCGTTTGTTGCAAAGCAAAATTCTAATTGTTGAGGGAGATATTATCAGCCACCAAATAGTTCTGGTTTATAGTGGAGAATACCGTAATAATAATGAAGTAGACCTATTGTGTGATTGTGAAAGTGATGACTATGATTGTAGAATTTATTTTCTCAGTAGTAGGTGTTTCTTTTTGACGAAAAAATAAGTTATTCCTTTAAACCATTCTATATGAAGTGTCCTCCTTTCCCATAATGGAAATTTGCTTACCCGTCCATCCAGCATCTGCTTGATCACTTGTTTCTGCTCATCACATTTCGCCCACACCCTTGCCTGCCAGGGTTGCCCTGCCTGACCTCCCCCCCCCCTTCAGCCATTTCCGTTCTGCCTCTTCCTACCGGGAGAGGTGGCTCAGGGCGTCAACTCATCTCACTGCAGTCCTGACCGGGAGATCCTAAGATTCTATTCCCGACGGTAATAGGATTTTCGGCACTAGCTCCATAGCTAGGACGAATTCAGTCACTCTCTGTGGGAGAATTGTGTGACCTGCTGCTCAGATCGATAGTTTTCCGTTGTTTCTCCGATCAACATCAAGCGAATCTCAGCCCAGTACTGTAACAAACGGGCTAGGGACCGCGCGTAAACTTTCCAACCTCTTTCTTGTTCTGTCTCCTGCCCTTACATAACTTATTATTTATTATTATTATTTATTATCATTATTATCATTATTATTATTTATTATCATTATTTATTGTTATTATTATTATTATTATTATTATTATTATTATTATTATTATTATTATTTATTATTTGCATGTAAGTTATATTATCTTGTTTACGTAATTAGCTGTCATCGGATTATACCATATTGCAGATTAAATATATTTATCTTTATTTTTATATTCTGATTCGCTGGTTCCTTGCTGTCCTTTTACTCTATCTCTTCTTTCCGCCACTCCCATTTCGTCAGATCTGCCTCCGATCGGTTCAGCTCGGCCCAGCACCGGGAAGCACAGTAACGACCAGCAACAATTCATTGTTCAGAGCTTCAGCCAAGATGAATTGAGGATTTCATTGAACTAGACATTTAAAATAAATATTTTGGGGTAACAGTTTTGAATCACAACTATTCTTATGCCTTCAGATGCATTAGATGCATTCCTACTAAATTTAGGAGAAATCACTCCACAGGTTTAGAAGGTTTTGTGGCACATACAATCAGATGCACTCGCTTTTATTTGACAGGCAAATCGGTGCGGGGCAGGGAAGATAAACAAAAATATCTTTGAATCCATTTCAGAGATCATGGTGAAACAAAAATTATGTTGGTCCCATGCATAGTGTCTATATCGTGTTATAATTTCATGTGGATGGATAAAGTAATTCTTGAGTTATATTGGTACCTACAGACATCCGGACAGGCAGATAGAAAACAATTTATTTGACGTGATATTCCTTTCAGTAAGCGAATAAGCAGGTTGAAAAGTATTTAAAAGCTGATAATTCGAAAATAAGGGGCAAATTTCAGAGCTTTTCTCTTTTATGATAACAGCAATATTTATATAATTTTTTCTCATCAAGATCCCGTAATAAGTTTGTCGAAGCCTTGCCTGTTTTCGGCACATGCTTGCAATGCTTTCTCTTTTAAGGAAGTAAAGTGAGAAAGTAAAAATCTTCTGTTTTGACGTCTACAATTATTTACTACCAAAACTTTGGCTTTACAATCTGTGATCACTTTTGTGAATAATGAGAACACGACCTACAACCCAAAGCAACATGAAAACATCCAAAGCCATTGAGACGGAAGTGATTAGGGATGACAAAAACGATCGATGCTTTTAAAACAGCTATATTTTCCAACAGAAATAGAGATATTATCATCGTTGTTTTGTTCAATATTCATTTCCAGAAACATCAGTGTTTAAAAACAATCTTTTTCGATGATTTTGTACGTGGAAATATTGCTAAACTGTATTTTGACCTTGCCTGTATAGAATATTGATAAAAAATCATTGTATGATGGAGATATTCATTACTATACTTCACTTCAAACTAATACATATGTTTTAAGTCCTACTATAATAGACACTGGATGTTTTACTTCGATGATTTATGCATGTCAGACATTAAATGGAATAATAGGAAAACACGATCTCTTATTTTTTATTTCCTTTTTTACATTCGATAAACAATATTATTAACATATTACGTTCACGTGACTAAACAAAAAAATATACGGGCACGGAAACTGGATTGGAAAATACCATGTTTTATCATATTTAAAACATTTTAAACATCGATGTTTTTTCGATATTCTCATCAACATCGAAAACCTTTTAGTCGTGTATTGTAATAGCGATGTATCGATTAATTTGATAAAATTTGCTTTCACTAGATGTAATCCTATTAATTCACTAAAGTTCGTTATACTTTATTTTGTGCATGACCAATAATTAAAACATCATAGTGAAAGGTTTGGTGATCAAAATAGGAATTTACGTTTTCTGTCACATTAGCCATCTAGCAGAAGCGGATAATGTAAGCTATATCCGTCACATTTCTCCCGATGAAATATTTAGCTCCGTATCTACTGAAAATAGTATGAAGAGTTTCAAACGAAATAAAGAATTTGGACCGAACAATTTCCCAGCATTTCTGCATAGGCTATATATGCGACATCCAAGATGTAAGAGAAATAAAATTTCATATTCTTGAATGAAACAATATTGGTGCACTAAGCACACTAAATAAATAAAGAACTAACCACCAAATTTGCCCTAGAGTGTGCCAAGAAAATGAATAACTGAACGTTGTGGGTAAAAATACTTCCTAGATATTCAAGCTTACATCTTATCCTTCTTCATCAAAACATAAGATGTTGAAGGTCAAGAAAGAGGAAAGAAGTATCGCGAGTGATCAGCGGACCGTTTTTTAGAGTACTTCTCCATTATGCGCCTGGTATTAACTTTTTCAATGTCATTCCATTCCCAATCCTTCATTTGGAGTAACCAACCACATGTATGTAACAAAAAAGCTATAACATGGCACTTTCTCTTTGCACTTACCATAATATTGGCATACGTTTGTTTATTTTATTACTAACTTGTCAGCGCATATCCTTATTCCATTTTTTAGTTTCACCTTTAATATCCATTAATTTCTTTCTCTTCTAACGATTAACCTGCTCTGGCGATCGGTCTGCTCGGGCGATCGGTCTGCTCTGGCGATCGGTCTGCTCTGGCGATCGATCTGCTCTGGCGATCGATCTGCTCGGGCGATCGGTCTGCTCGGG